TGCCCTGTGGTCCCCTCTGGTGTCCTGCGCGGCCTCCACATCCACTCGTTCACTCGGAACTTGGTGGGTGTTGGATACCTCCAGGACAGGGGGATCATCGTTACCTTTGTGGGGGGTGGGCGGACTGCAGTCTGTACGGACGCTGTCAGTGGCAGAGTTTTGGCCACGTTCACCAAGGAGCCGCGCTCCGGTCTCTGCGTCCTCCACACCGAGAACTCCCCGGTGTCCACGTCACCTCAGATCGCTGCGTCCCCCTAGGTTCCTGCGCCTCCGCCGGTTGTCGAGTCCAGTCAGGTAGCTGCATCCCCTCCGGTTGTCGCGTCTAGTCAGGTTGTTGCGTCTTGCTCGTGTCGGTCTTTCACCCACCGGACCGTCCTGTGGCACCACCGTCTTGGCCACCCGTCGATCCCCCGCCTCCGCACTATGGCTAGTCACCGTCTTGTCTCAGGTCTCCCTCGCGTCTTCCCGTCGCTCCCTCCCTCGCCTACACCCCCGTGCACTCCTTGCGTCGCCGGCCGTCTTCGTGCCACTCCGCACTCCTCTCTTCGTCCAGCCACTGCTCCCTTCTAGAAACTCCACTTGGATGTCTGGGGCCCTGCACCTACGCTGGGACCTGAGAGGGAGCGCTACTTTCTGGTGGTCATTGACGACTTCTCCAGGTACACCACGGTGTTTCCTCTCGCGAAGAAGTCTGAGGTGACTTCTACGCTGATCCGGTGGCTTCTAGCCACTGAGGGCACTCGTGGCCGTCGTGTCTCCTGTCTCCACTCTGACCGTGGGGGTGAGTTTTGCTCAGGCATTCTTGCCGGATTCTGCAGCGAGCAGGGCATCGTACAGTCCTGGAGGCTGCCGGATTCCCCACAACAGAATGGGGTTGCTGAGCGCCGCATTGGCTTGGTCATGGACATCACCCGCACGTCCATGATTCATGCCCGTGCGCCCCATTTTCTGTGGCCCTACGCGGTTCGCTACGCCGCTCACCAGCCGAACCTCCGGCCGCGCGTCTCGCAGCCAGAGGCTTCACCGACCAGTCTTTGGACTGGGTCCCCTGGTGTTGGGTGAGCCTTTCGTGTCTGGGGCTGCCTTGCGCTTGTCCGTGACACCTCTGCGGACAAGCTCACGGCTCGCGCCACCCCCTGTGTCTTCCTTGGTTTCCCGGTAGCCTCGGCCGACTGGTCCTTTTACCACCCGCCCCTCCACCACTTCTTAGACTCCCGTGACGTCCGGTTCGACGAGTCAGTGTCCTACTACACCCGGTACCCCTGTAGAGGTCTCCCGGTTCCCCTCCCCCCCCTTTTTCCTCGCACCCTCTCTTCCCCCTGCTCCCGCTCCTCCGGCACCCCCACCCCCCCCCTGGTCCTGCCCCGTCAGGTGTGTCTCACGCTACCCCTCTACCCTCGGTCGCGCGTCAGGTAGCGTCTCCCTCCCCGCAGTCCTCCTCACAGTCCCCTCAGCACCCTTCGGCACTTCCGCGACAGGTTACTGTGGACTCGGTTGGTGTTGGAACTGGAGGTGCAGCCACTGGTGGTACTCGGTCTGGGGGTGTTCATTCGAGGGGTGTTGGAGCTGGAGGTGCTAGTTCTGGGGGTGCTGGAGCTGGAGGTGCTGGCACGGGAGGTGCTAGTTCTGGGGGTGCTGGAGTTGGAAGTCCTGGCACTGGGGGTGCCAGGATAGGGGGCGCTGGAGTTGGTGACCCTGACCCTGTTGGTACCCCTTCTAGGGACACTGGTTATGGGGGTGCTAGTTCTGAGGCGACTGGAGCTGGGGGAACTACGTCTGCGGAGAGCACTCCGCCTCCCCACCGCCATGACACGCGTTACCAGGCAGCCTGCCGGCGTGTGCGTGAGGAGCAGGAGCGGTTGGAGCGGGAGCGGCAGGAGTTGCGGCAGTTGGACCTGCTGGAGCAGCGGCAGCAGCGGCAGCAGCAGCAGCAGCAGTCGCCGCCACCACCGCAGCCGCAGCAACTCCCTCTGGAGCGGCAGTTGTTCCCGCCCGTGAGTGGCCTCCGGGCCCTTGGTCTTCCCTCCTCTCCTCCTGCCCGCCCTCCGTCTCCTCCTGCGTTTGGTCCTACGTTTTCTCCTCCTGATGCCCGTCCGGCAGTCTGGTCTTCTCCTCCACCGCAGTCTCCTCCTCCTGTTGTCCGTCACTACCGTTCCCGTCCTTGTCCTCCGAGTGCTCGTCCCTCGTCCCCCGTTACCGACCTCCACAGTGCCCTCCTTTGTACCTCTCTTCGTCGTTCTCCTCCTCTAGTGTCAGTTCTCCCGTCTCCTCCTCCGTCCTCTCTTCCTGTCCCCCTACTCCTATCTCCGACTACTACCGTGCTGTTCGCCCTGTTGTCTCCCGCGTTCCAGCCACTGGTGTCACCGACCCTCATTTCTCTCCGTCGTCTGTCTTGGCTCTCACTGCCGCTGTCGCTGACTTTGCCGCTGCCAGCCGTCTTTACTACAGCACTCGTGTGGTGCCCGCTCCGCCTACCCGTCCTCTGTCCGTCGGGGGTGAGTTTGCCCTTGGTTGTGACGTCCTAGAGGACAGGCACTCTGAGCTCGAGTACCTAGCAGCCGCTTCTCCCACTCTCTGTGCCATGCTGCTTTCCCCTGAGGGAGACCCCGACGCCCTTGACATACCGACTCCTCGCACGTACTGTGAGGCAGTGTCAGGGTCGTGGGCCTCTCAGTGGAAGGCGGCCACGGACTCAGAGGTTGGCGTCTTGGAGATCCACATGCATGTACGTCGACGCAGTTCCCCCTCCCCAGGCGAACGTAGTTGATGGCATGTGGCTCTTCAAGGTGAAGCAGCCGCCTGGATCACCCTTGGTGTTCAAGGCACGTTATGTGGCGAGAGGCTTCAGTCTGGTCGAGGGAGTTGACTTCTTTCAGACCTTCGCTCCGACCCCGAAGATGACTACACTTCGGGTGTTACTACACGTAGCAGCACAGCGTGACAACGAGCTCCACTCCCTCGACTTCTCCACTGCCTTTCTCCAGGGACGACTGCACGAGGAGATCCGGCTGCGCCGTCCTCCTGGTTTCACTGGTACTTTCCCTACTGGGACCTAGTGGAGCCTGAGGCGACCAGTCTACGGTCTCCGCCAGTCACCCCGTGAGTGGCACGACACTCTTCGCTCCACACTTCGTGACCTAGGGTTTCGCCCTTCCTCTGCTGACCCGTCACTGTTTGTTCATGCCGGCTCCACTCGTTTCTTTATACTCGTCTACGTCGACGACTTGGTCTTTGCTACACCAGACAGGGCAGCTCTGGCTGAGGTGAAGTCCAAACTGCAGAAGAGACGCACGTGCACTGACCTTTGTGAACTGCAGCGCTACCTTGGCCTGCAGATCACCAAGGACAGAGCCGCTCGCACCATCACGTTGACTCAGTCACACATGGTGCAGCAGGTCCTTCAGCGGTTCGGGCTTCAGTTCTCTACCACACTGCCCACTCCTCTTGCTGTAGACCACAGACTCACCGGCCCCTTCCCCGACGAGCCCTTTGAGCCCAATATTCCCTACCCAGAGCTTGTTGGCTGCCTCATGTACCTGATGACCTGTACTCGCTCGGACCTCGCCTACCCTCTTAGCGTCCTCTCTCGATTTGTTGGACCTGGGAGGCACCGTCCTGTTCACTGGACGGCTGCTGTGAGGGTGGTGAAGTACCTGGCGACTACATCGGACATGAGGCTTGTGCTTGGAGGGACTTGGCCAGTTGAGCTGACTGGCCTCTGTGACTCTTCTTACGCTGACGACGTGGAGACTCAGCGCTCGACCCAGGGTTACTGTTTCAGTTTGGGAGCTGGGGCTGTGTCGTGAAGGTCCACACGGTCGTCGTCGGTGGCTTCGTCCAGTGCAGAGGCAGAGATCTACGCCGGTGCTATGGCTGCTCAGGAGCTTCGCTGGTTGACCTTCTTGCTCGCTGACCTTGGTGAGCGACCTCATACTGCTCCGACCTTGTTCGCTGACAAGAAGGCCATGATTCTCTCGTGTCGCGAGCCTCGACTGGAGACCAGGGTGAAGCACATCGACGTCCGGTACTTCCTCCTGCGTGAGCTCCAGCGACGCGGCCAGGTGCGCTTGGACTTTGTGGCCTCAGAGGCCAACACTGCTGACCTCTTCACCAAGGCCTTGGCGCCTGGTGATCACCACCGGTTCTGTGTGCAGTTAGGGCTTGTTGAGGCAGGTCCTCGGTTACTGTAGCCTTGTTGCTTGCTTTGCTTGTTGTGCTTTGCTGTTATATATCCTAGTGAACTCTTGAACTGGCCTTGTGGCCGCTTGCTTGTGCTCGGAATTTGTGTGGTGTCCTTGAGATCCACCCTGAGCTTGCTTTGCTTCTTGCATTGACTGGTCTTGTGACCGTTTGTTCACCCTGCTTGCTTTGATGCCCCTCACTTAGCCTATGGGGGTGTGCCAAATGTTGATATTTGTGATAGGCTGTTGTGAGGTGCTCCTTAGTGAGTACAACTCAGTTAGGGTTTGCTATTTATATCACCCACATTCCTGATCTCATCATTCCGTTGCATTCCTACTTTGAGAGTTTGCATGTTTCGCTACAAATGTTCGCTCATGCTGTCAAGAGTGATGCATAGCGTAATGATGATGACTGGCAAGGTGGGAGATACAAATGCTAAACCTAGAAAGTGTTGTACTCCCTACAGCCCTACTCACTATAGCCTATCAATATAATGTATAACATTTGACACATGCCTTCGCTCCCATTTTTACTCGTTCGCGAACTTAGAGCAATCCTCGTACCTTGCTACATTGCATGAGGAACAAGGTGTTACAGATTACTTAAATAAAATAGATTTATAAGATTTATAAGAAACCTGTTATAAGATATTAGATATATTATTTATGAGATCATATATTTAAATCTACAAGATAAGTCTTACGTAACCATTTTTCGGACGATGACGGTATGAGTTTCGTGTCTTCATTATCTTATGATTCTGTAGTGCAGAACTTCCCAGTCATGACCTTTACTGCTGCACAGTGGAACTTGCCAGTTCACCCGTTGAAATCCCCATCCCTAAATCTCCCAGAGAGCCTTTTCCCGATCATAAACGCCACTGACTCAATTGACACCATGGGATTTACCCCCACAGGGGTTGGAAACACACTTCCATCACCCAAAAACAACCCAGAGGCTTCCCAACTCTCCCCATTTTCGTCCACAACCGAGCTCTTGGGGGAAACACCCATGGGGCAGCTGCCAGTCTGGTGTGCCGAGAACAGCGAGCAATCATTGAGCTTGAAACCCGCTGCAGCAACGGATTTTAAATACTCCTCAAACTCTGCATCTGGTGTGTGTTGCCATCCATCCAACTCCTGCAACTCATCCGTACCGTCCATCTTGGCAGTGCATGCATCGGCTGAGTCAGCTTTGACGGTGGGCGGGATGAGGCAGCGAAAGGGCTTGAGTGACTGGTGCAGGGTACCCACCTCCACTGCTCCCGCTGCTCTCAGAATCCGCAGAGAGAGGAGGAGGGCCTCCTGTTGTTGGGCAGTGAATGATAGGCATGCAAGTGGGACACATGGTGGGAAATTTGTGGGGAATGGGAGAAAGAGAGAAAGGAGGGCGGTTTAGAGTTATGGAATGAGGGAGAGAGGAGAGAAGGACCTGGCAAGCACATGTCCCACCAGCTCTGAGCCCACTATCCAGACAAACTGTCGTGTTTGCGGTGCCTTCCCACCTCTCCATATCTCACCTGCATGCTCTTCTGGTCTTCCTTGCAAAGCTGATACGTCACAACAGGCCGCCCGCTGCCGTCCACGCCCACGGTACCGCGCCCGCGGTCCCTGACAATGGCGATGAGTGAGGCGGTGCGGTCAAAGCGTATGAAAGTCTTCTTGATGGCCCGACTGCCCAGCCAGGGGAGGGCGCAGCCCAGCAGACCCGGGTGCTGGAGGGGGCAACAGCTGGCAGGCGGGTGATTTGGGAGGAGATCGTGCAGAAGACAGGCATCACATGGCTTGAGGTTCGGAGTTTGGGAGACGCATGGAGGTGCCGACGCTGAGGGTGGTGATCATGCTGACAGCAGCTGACGGGGGTGTGGATGATGGTGGTGGGGAGCGGGCAATGAGATGGTAGGGAAGAAAGAATGGAAGACCTCTGTGGGAAGAGAGCAAAGATGAGGAGGGTCGCATGCATTCAGAGCAAAGGTTTGGTTAGGTGGAGTGAGGTGAGGTTCACATGCATTCAGGGCCTAGATGCCGCAACCACATGTCACACGCCACCCACATACAACACGCCACCCACCTGCCACACGCCACCCACCTGCCACACGCCACGACAACCAAGTTGGCCTCCACCACGAGCCGCTGAGCCACCCCTTCTCCCCGCTCTACCCGCGCCTCCACCCCCACCACCCGCTTCTTCCGCCCGCCGCCAGCAGTGCTGCTGCTTGCAGAAGAGGCGGTGCTGGCAGGGCGGTTGGGGGAGAGGAGGAGGCGCAGGGCGGCGCAGCGGGAGAGGATGAGGGCGCCGTGGGTAACCGCGTCTGGTAACCAGGTTTCCAGCATAGACTGCTTCTCGCCCGACCAGCACCCAAAGTGGCACCAGCCGCCTGAGAGGGGTTGAGCGGAGGGAGAGTGATGGGAAGAGGGGGTTGGGTCGAGGGGAGTGATGAGACGAGGGGGGAAGAGCAATGGGATTGAGAAGAAGTGGGGTGCTGAGGAGGACGATGCGGGTGTGGGAAGAACGGCCTATGGAGAGCAGCGGGTGACAGTGATTATGCCTCCTATGTAGATGAACGTGGGGATGCAGTGCGGCACTCACACGAATGCGGCTGGTTGGTGTTGCGGGGGGTGATGGCGTGGTGGCAGCCCAGAGCAGCGCATCCCGCTTTGAGCACTGCGTTGCTCAGGCTGTGGTGGGTGATGGCCTCGTCCGCTGTCACCTGCGTGGCAGCGCGGAGGCAGTGCAGGAATTTTTTCTTGTTTTTGTGTGTGGGTGATTTTTCGTTTTCTTCTTCTTTATTCTTTTTCTTTTTCTCGGGAGTAGACAGGACGACATGGAGGGACCCATGGCGGCGTTTCTCAGGCGGTAGTGCTGGCGATGAACGTATCTGCTATCACCAGTGCGGCAGCAGCGGAGGGGCCGAGGGTGGAGAAGGTGGAGATGAGAACGGGGAAACAGCATCCGGGGGATGGGGTCAGGGAATGGCTCGATAACAGCTTATGCACGGCTCTATCCTCACACACACACATACACACACACACACACACACACACACACACACACACAAACCTGAAACTTTTCACACACCTGAATCTTCTCGCAGACAGCGTCCATGGCTGATGAATACTCCGGCGACTCAAATTGCTGCCAGCAGTGCAGGGCAGAGAGGAGGAGAGTAGGCGGGAAGAGGGAAGGTGAGGGACAGGGAAGTGGACAGTGCTCATAGATGCAGCAGTGAGCCCCAGCCCATGGGGGTTGCAGTGCGTTTGGCAAGCGTGTGACAGTTCATGCAAGTCGTGAACCTGCCCTCCTTCAGCCCATGCTCGTCGCCCCACTCCTTGGTGACATGGGCTGGCCGCTGGTGTGCAAAAGTGTGAAGAATTGAAAAAGAATGATTAGTTTCATTAGAGAGTAGAACAAGCATACATAGGTTTGGAAGAGAAGGTTGGAAGGGAAAAGGAGGGAGGTGGGATTGGGGGAGTGGGCCAACCTATGGCCCATTGGGTTGGGTTGACCACACTTGGGGAAGTGGGCCAACCTATGGCCCATTGGGTTGGGTTAACCACACTTGGAAAGTGGGGTTAACCTATGGCCCAATGGGTTGGGTTGGCCTCACTTTGTGAAGTGGGATACCCTATGGCCCATAGGGTTGCATTTGGGGGCTCCACCACAATTGGGTTGGATTGGCACCCCAAAATGCAAGACTACACCCAAAGTTGGGTGTAGTCCCAACCCAACTGTACACCACAATTGGTGTATATTCACAAGTGTTTGTGTTAGCATGCTAAAACATAGGATTTCTAACAAAAAGGACACGGACCAGTTGGCCTGGGTGCCTCCCCACTGCCTCCCTGGTTGTTGCCTAGTCACACACAATACTGGTTCTAACGGCCCACAATCCCCTCGGGCACGGCACAAGCTCACCTTGAGCCCATACTCATTGGCCCACTCCTTGGTGACATGGGGCGGTGTGCGGAAGGACGCAGACCAGTTAATCGTGCTGCCGCCGCCCACTGCCCTCCCTGCCAGCAGCCCCACCCCACCATCCTCCGTGGTGAGAAAGCCCTGAGTGTCATACCTGTGGGGAGGCAAGCGGAGCAGAGAAAGGGAGGGTGAGAGGAGGATATTTGAGGTGCCTCAAAACTCGAAAAGAGGGAGGGAGAGAGGAAGCAGCGATGGGGAGGAAAGACGGCAGGAGGTGGCCTGATGTGTTGCATGCAGAGCCCAGGAGGTGCTTTCTGTGGCAGAGCAGCAAGCCATTACCACAAAGCATGAACAGGGTCGATTTAAGGGGGGGGGGGAGAGCGAAAGGGATGGATGGCACAGGAAAGAGAGAGGAAGGTACCACAACGCACAGCTGAGCACCAGAGGGTGCTTCGAGAAGAGACAAGTCCGATCGGTAGAAATATCCCCCTGCCTCCAACACAAGCACCTTCCTCTGCCGCTTGCTGCCATCTGCACCAGCAGCATCATCACCAGCAGCTGCTGCTGCTGCTGCTTCTGCGAGCTGAGCTGCAATGATGGCTCCTCCACAGCCAGAACCGATCACCACCGCGTCACACCGCACCACCACAGGCTGATAATGGCACAGCAGGTTGGGTGTGGCAGTATGGGGTGAATGGCAGTAAATACGGGGCAGAAAGGGGCCGATGACTCATGGGATGAGATGGAATGAAACATAACTTGGTGGAAACATATGGAGTGTGCGAAGAGTGTGAGGGATCCGTGAGAGGTGTGAGTGGCTTGTTAAGGAAAAACATCACCCCACGAACCTTCCCTTCTGAGCCACCTACTGCACACACATTTCCCCAAAGTACCCACCTCTCCTTCCCCCTCCTTCTTCCTGCTCAGCAACCCCTTTGTCCGTCTTGACCCCTCTAGCACCTCCACGCCCTTCCCTTGCAGCACTGCTGCCAGCCTCTCCCCCTCTGCTGCACAGTCCACCACCGCCTCGTCTAGTGGCCTGCCCTCCCCTCCTCCCTGCTCACACCCACCACCACCACCCCCTCCGGCCGTTCCTTCATCACGCCCAGCTTCCCCCTCGCCGCTGTCGGATTGCTGAGCTGGACGCTGTGCCACGTCAGGGTCACGAACAGCTGAGCTGTCTCTGCTGTTGATGCACGTGCGTTGGTTCCCAGCAGAAAGCATGTTGGGATCGGGACCGCAGTACCCCATGGCCCGCCACATGATGTTGTCGCCAGAGCCAGCATACTGTGGTACATTTTAGGCGCCGACAGGGAAGGGGGGTTGTTTTTTAGGATTCCCAAGTTGGTATTTGGTTTGTCGATAAGTCCCAGAGATGTCATCATGCCGTACAGTACAAGTGCAGGTGCTGGCAGGGAGGGGTAATACCATATCAGGCTGCCCCTTACTTCAGGCGCGTCAGATATAGACACCTCAAGTTCCAACAGGGAGGGCCCAAGATAAGGCTGCCCAGGGAGGGTCTTTAAAATGGCTGTTTTAAAAATGGCTGTCCTCGCGATTTCGCAAGCAAGAGGTTGGTTTTTGGGCCAACTGAGAAACACACAGGGAGAGAGAGAGCAGGCGAGGAGTGGGGAGTGACGGAGGGAAGAGGTGCGGGGTGCAGGGTGAGAGCTAGCATGGGGCATGGAGGGGGAGAGGCTCACCTGCGCGCCCATATGGAAGAGCGTCAAGCTGCGGAAGGTCTGTGCTGGGGGAGGGGCGAGGGGAGAGACAGGGAACACGAGGGATAGCAAGGTCAGCAGGAGTGAGAGTTTCATGTTAAGAAACTGAATCATAAACAGCATGAAGTGCGCCACAATTCCGAGCCTACACGAACTCTCACAATGCATGCTTGATATGCATGGAAGTTACCTCACACATACACGTCACTTGGAGCTGCTATGTTATGTGTGTGCTGCGCTCACAGCCTCAGGGCAAAAATCCTGGTGCCTTTCGCTCTCATGTTAATCACCCGCCTTCATCAACCCCCTTCTGACTCCCCACCTTGAACACCGTCCGCAGCACAAAGTTACTGCTGACAGACCATCGCAGCAGCATAGCCTCCCGAGCCTGCGGCGACAGCTTCGTGAAGGGCTGGGGGAATGGTGTTCCCCCCGCGAAGGCCGTCCGTCCCGCCAGCAGCAGCGTGCCGTGGCGAGTGGAGAGGAGCCAGAGGACCGTGTTGAAGAGACCCAACGGCAGCGGCTTAATGCACTGCTGCATTTTCTCGGCCACCTGGATGGGAGGGGAGCAGAGACGGCAAGTTTTGAGATGTCTCAAAAGGTGAGTGGAGAGGAGAGGTAATATACTGTGGTACTCTAAGGCTTCTTCGTATGCAAATGCGTTGTGTGTTCTGATGTGCGTCACCTCCAGTAACTCACTGGCTACTTTTTGGTGTGCCTAGATAGTGATGTGCCCCTACCACTATACACTAGCAATGTCACACTGATATGCATTTGTTTTGCTACAGACCCGTTCTGGTGCTTGTGAATGGCGTGTTTTAAACATTAATCGGAACATTTTACAAGAAACACAGAAATCACATACAAGTTTTCTGTGTTTGGTTACTTTACACTTACCACAACGATTGTACCGGGTTTTTCTTACCATGATGGCAGATGACTCGTAGTGGCTATATTGCGTTGTGATTGCCGTTCGGTTGCGTGATATGAAAGATAAAGGGCAGGTATGAGTGAATTCGCTTTCCATAATAGACTCTATACATGGACCCTCGTGGCGCAATTCAGTCAACAGGACACATGCGACTCCTAACACAGGTGTACGACAATGTGGTGACAATAATTGCCGAATGTGTGGAGATTAGGGTGTGGCAATACTTCCCGGACCAATCATCATCGATGCTGGGAAGTGTGAAAAACAACGGGAAAGTTACTGGCCCGTCTCTTTAGGGTTACATCCATGTAACATTTCTACACTGTTGAGGATCATTGCACATGGTAGACCTCTGGCAGAGGGAAAGTTTTCCGCACGAAATGTTTGAGACGAAGCCCGGGAAACGGTTTGAGGCTAACTGGACGACCAGACACGACGACGACGATGAGGAGGTGCGCGCCTGCGACGTTGCGGAGGTACCGTGGGCTTCCAGGAAGTGTTGAAGGGCCGCTGCGGGCCTCTAAAACACCCCCGCTTTGACGAACGGAACAAAGGCAAACGACGGACGTGTCTTTGCCGCTACTACGCTTATGGCGGAAGAGGGGAGCGATGCTGCAAGAACGGCACGCGAGAGCGAGGGCTTTACGAACGACGAACCTTATCGACGACGCCGAGGCTAGACGAGGATGCCGCGAAGTACGCAACGATGGCTTCCTTCCGAGGCTCGCCGTAAAACTTGCTCCACGGATTTTCAGTCAGCGAGTCTTCCGTTGGCTTCCCGACGAGCTGAAAATAAGGGTCGTCGGATTCCGTACTAGGAACCGGCATGGAGGTTACGAAGGTGTCGCATACCGCGCTTAACGCGGCGAACTGACGAGGCGACATGCTTTGCTTGGGAGATGTCCCTTTCTCCCTGAGTTTCTTACTACTGCAAAGAAGCATTTTGAATAGGCTTTGGGACCAAACGGCGGAAGCAAGGGGAAGAGGTGCTGGAAACAAGCACTGAAGGTGGAAAATACGATTAGCTGTGAAACTGACGGCGTGCAGAGGAAAAGAGATAACAAGCCCTGCTTCACTTGATGACATTTGAAATAGCGCGTGGCACATTTGCCACCCAAAACCCAGAACCCTGGCGAAGTGTTACTGCGGATGGAAAGTGTCCGCACGAAATCCTGGTTTTCGCCAGCCAGCACTTTCGCGCTGGCAAGCCTGGTTCAAAAAAAAAACTTCTGAACCCAACACTGCCAAAAGTTGCCCGTCGCTTTAAAGCTCAAGGCCCAAATTGCGGGCCGCGCGAGGCAAGTTTAGTAAGGTTGATCGAGTGCTGCTTTGCAGCTTTAGCTGGGCGAATTGTGGTTACGAAATGTACGAAGCCATCTGATTGGCCAGAACATTTGAGTCAGCGAATGGAACAGGTGGTGCGGGAAACTGGCAAGAGTAATATTTGTGCAATATGGGACTCGCGCAACCAAACCTGAGCGTCCCCTAGGCTTTGCTGAGTCAGCGAATTTTGTTTTGAGTGTGGCGAGAAGCTGGGCGAAACCAAACCCCTACACCCCTCAAACACCTCGACTTTCCTACTCTGCTTTCCCACCACCCAAGGGTCAACTTTAGTAATCCTGAACAATTTGGGCCTTGAGCTTTAAGGTGAGCTCGAGCCTAGGTTTCTATTGATGTGGAGTCGGGTTTCATCAAAACAAATCGACGCTCTGCTGGAGGGCAGATTTCATGCCAATTGAGTTTGACGTGCGAACTTGAGACTTATAAAACAGATTTCAAACCAGCCTCCGCATTGCAAAACGTAATATTTTAATCTCACATGTGACAGCGTCAGCAGAGGGAGTCAACGAAATGACAAGCTGAAGGGCCGATCGCACGTGCGACGTACCTTTTCCTCGCGCGATCTTTTGACCGTGGTTACCGGAATGTGCTTCCACATTTTTGTAAAACAGATCGACCCTCGGACCAGCTTTGGGGGCCGGGCATTTTTCCACAATCTCGAACCACCTCTGGGTTACCAAGAAGTGCACAATAGGACTTCTCCGGTTTAGAACCAATACAGGTACAAGATACCACGATCTAAAGTCTTATCCTTCTGAATCTGATGTCCCCAATTTCCTCCAGCTCGAAATACCAAACCAATCACCTTCTTCGTTTTCAAGCACACCAGTGGTTGCTCGTGGCGCGACTCGAAACATTCAACGTCGGCGCCCGAATGCTTTGCAAAAGATGGTGGTGTCCGATCATCCGATAATTCCACTCCCTTGTCCGATAACACCCTAGACCCTGGAAAACTCCCCTCGGTCAATTTAATTCTGAGGGTACTGTAACTCACAATGGGAAGAGTCCAGCACCCCAACGCGAGCTGAAGCAACAGCAAGGACAGCAGCAGCAACATTAAGAATCCACACACTCACTGGGACTACAGAGTGATCTTCGTTTGATTGAAACCTGGTTGTTGCTTATTGATAGTCCCATAATATCAGGAGGACAATTACCAAGCCAAGGAACGTATAGGGTATCTTATAAATAGACGGTACGGAATGTGAAGAGATTGGACGACAAGTGTACATACAGTCTGGCAAACCGCATCAACTCCGTGGGCAGGTTCATGGGCAGGTTTATCTTATGCAGTATATTATGTTTCTGGTCATAAGAAACCGCTTAAACATGTTATTGTTCGTTGATGCATCCGGCAAGGTTCATTTTTCCTGAATACCCTAATAGGTCACTCCAAAATATGGGCAGCCTCATATAAATTTGCCTTCGTATCGAATCTGGGCAAAACTGATTTGGGTTATCCAAACGAGATTTGAGTTCCCGATGTGTGCCTAAACACTGTGCGCTCCAACCGTACACCTAATTGTCCTTATTTCACGTTAAATATTAGGAGCCATACGGTAACAACACGACACTAATACCGTTGATTTCATGGACCTTCCTGGCAGTCAGGTTCCATTTGCCGATGTTGGCATGTCTCTCTGTGGCGTAAGCATTATGATGTTCTGTGAGATGTTGGCCTTTACAGAACTCGCAAGACAACACTGGATAGTGCACCAGCAGCTTCTTCCCATAATTCGACGTGTCCGTGATGCTGTTATAACTGAAGGATTGAAGTGGATAGGATAAGTCTGCTAAGTTGAGAGAAGACAATGAAGTCTTTAGTAGTGACCTTGTTTAAAAATTGTACAAGACTTCATTGTAAGACAGGAGTACAAGAGTATAAATAGCAAACTAGCTAGCCATTTACTCTGAAGGGTACATTCCCTTATTCAACTGTATTGCATACTTACAGTAACTGTCGCTTTTGCCATTCTCGACAGTTACCTGGTTGCATCGCGTAACCTCCGATACGGTTGCGAGACGGTCAGTAGTCACGATCGTTAACTTTCAGTGACTGTTAACCTTCGAGTGACTCTCTGTCTGCCGAATGCTCTATATGAGCTATTTCGGTATTGGTGTAATAGCGTTGCTGCACTATGAGGTGATACGCCAGGGGAGAGCCTTCGGGAATGCTATGTGATAACATTTCGGTTATTCCAACACTCCCCTTCATTCCTGAAGGTGAGCCACGTGGGATTTCTTGGAGATCCTCCAGAGGTCGGCACAGTGCTGGAACTTTTGACGTGGTAGTTTCTTCGTCAGGAAATCGGCTGCCATGTCACCGGTTGGGCAGTACGTGAGTTTGACCTTGCCCTTGTCGATTTCGTCCTTGACGAAGAAGTAGTGGAGTGCGATGTTTTTCGTGCGGTTCACGAAGCCAAGTTTGTTCGCGATCTTGATCGCGCTCTGATTATCGCAGAGTAACGTGAAGTGCCCGTTCATTGTTACTTTCGCTTCCTGCAGGAGCTCCATCAGGTAAAGTCCTTCACGAACAGCTGCGCTGGTGGCAATGAATTCACCTTCGGCTGACGAAAGAGCAATGAGCTCCTACTTCTGGGAGTTCCAAGAGATGATCCAGCATGTTGGAGTTGGAAAATGAATCCTGTGCGGGAGCGTGTGTTGTCAATGTCTCCCGCATGGTCCGCGTCTACATAGCCGTGAAGATGCAGGGTAGTGGTTAGGCTGGCTTCGTAGGTGAGTCTGACGTCAAGGGTGGAGACGAAGTATTGGAGTGCTCGGCGCAGATCTTGTAGATTCTCCCTTTCAGGTCACTTCAGGTACTGTGCGAGCTGGCTTGCGACGTAGGAGAGGTCCCGCCGGCACGTAACGGTGGCGAATAGAAGACACCCCAGATGCTGCTCATAGAGGCGATGATCTTCGATGGAGAGTGTCATGGTATCAGGTTCATGATTAGGAGGAGGAGTTCGGAAGGGGGTAATGATGGCGATCGGGGCGATGGCAAATTTCTTCGTGAGCGTTTCCGCGTATTTAGTGGTAGAGAGGTGAATGGAGGTGGCGGACTGGGTAATGTTGAGTCCCAGGAACTGCGTGACGTTCTGGTTTATCGTCACCTCGAGCTTCTCCTTGATTTCTTCCTCAAACCGGTCGAGCAGCTCCGTATCGTCGCCGATGTAGAGGAGGTCGTCGACGTAGGCGACGAGAAGGATGAATTTGCCGCGCGACTCCTTCTAGTACATCCCAAGGTCATGCGGCAGCTGAGTGAATGC